GGAGGGTCAGAGGGAGAAGCAGACTCCCCGCTGAGCAGGGAGCCCGATGCGGGACTCGATCCCGGGACTCCAGGATCATGACCTGAGCCGGAGGCAGTCGCCTAACCAACTGAGCCACCCAGGCGCACCCAATGTGTCTTGTTGTTAGAGGAAACTCTTTCCACGTATATTGCCCGCACAATCTATGTGCCTAAATCCACACAAGGACTGATTTTTTTTTTTAATCCGTCTTACGCGACATTCTGAATGGACCAGTGCACATCCCTGGATTTTCTTTAAAACTGAACAAAACTAAAAGAACAATTTCATTCTTATATCTATATCTTTAGAGAAGGCGTAGAGTGCAACAATTACTTTTATGTTTTATCTTGCATTAACCACAAAAAAATATGCCCTATTCTTTCTACGGGTCACAGCTATTCATGCTGCTTAGGAATGAGGCTCTCGGGGATACCTAAGCTGCTTTTCCTTCAGGCTAAGCAGTGCGTTTTCTTCAGTCATACTCCAAATGTCGTGGTTTTGAGACCCTCACCCTATACTATCATTGTCCAACTGTGGCAGCTGGAACGAAGCACAACATCCCAGCCATCCTGAAACCATCTGTGTAAATGAATCAGTTCTCTGTTCTCTTGCCAGTGAGCATATTTATTGAGCAAGGCCAGTGTGTATGGCTCTGTGAGCAGTATTTCTCCACGGTGCTGTGCTCTTCATTCTCTTTACAATGTGTCCAATGTAAGTGAGTTCTTTCCAGGACAGAGCTGTGGCTAAAAGCAGAGTTATACAACCCTCGTTTATTGATACATTTATAGTGACTGATTAATTAAAACACACACACACGCGCGCACACACACACACACACACACACACACTACTCAAGCTCAGTTCAACCTCCTCCTGTGTTGTAAATACATCGTGTTGGTTTTAACATGTCATGCACACAGAAGCCCTGTATAATATTTAAATAAAAATTATCTTCGAGTTAAGTATTTTCATTCTGCTTCCCCAGTGTTATTTGATACGGAAACTTTTTCCCCTTCCCTGACTACTTAACAGAAAAAAATGAGCAGAAAGATTGAAGCAGTCTAAAAATATCATTCTGGCCCATTTTCTGTATTATTTGACACTAAAGCTCTTCGATCAGATATCTATCTAAATGGCCACTTCAGCCTGTGTATTGAAATCTTTGGTTAATTTAAGGGGTAATGAAATAGTCTAGTCAAGTTCCTTAAGTTAGAAGAAATAAAATTTCAGCAGCTCTCTAACATTAACGAAAAATTAATTACACACAGGTCTAATTTTTTTTGATAGGCATGGAATATGATTAATTATGGGGAAGAAACAATAACCTTAAGTGTGCTATGTATACTTCCTTGTATTGCCTGATATTACTATACTATTTGACAGAAACAATTTGTGTGTTCTAACTAAATCTATCTAGTTCCAATGAAATGGACCAAGGAAAAAAATAAATGGCATTAATTAATTTAATACAAAATTCTGACTCAAGTGTTCTTCATTTGATCTTTGTCTCTGTCCTAAAATTTAAGAAAGTGTTTCAGGAGTCTGGCCCTCTAGACCCCCCCACACACAATCTTATCCCTTTTCCACTATTCGTAAATTCTGATGGCACCACCCAAACTGTGGTGGCCCTGACTTGCCCAGAAAATAATAATAAAAAAAAGGACTAACCTGTTCTTATTCCTCCCCTAATACTCCAAGGTTTGATATGTTACTAAATCATAAATAAATGTAGTTGTAATATAAGTGGGCTGCTGTCCCTATAGATATTGAATTGAAAATAAAGAATTAAAGATAACAAAGATAGTGTTTAAATGAAACTTTTGTCTAAGAAGTTTTCTTGTCTTTTTTATTTCATCAGTTCCTGGAGTTTCTTCCATTACAAATGGGAAATTGAATCATTGGTCACCTTAAAAATACAACTTGGTAAACACTTTTCACCTGCCAACCTGAACAAATATCATTTTCTTTCAGATCAGTATTTAAGGACAACCAGGGAAATGTGGACAGAGACTCAAGATTTTCACCGTTGTATAGACAAGAAAGTAGCAAGATTTCAACAGAGGACCTGCTAAAACTAGTGTCAGATTACAGAAGGTAGGGTTTTTGGATACTCTTGAAATTAACATGAATCAGCTACATTGCTGCTATTGATTTATTAACTCTGCATAAACAGTATTTGATTACCTGATTCTCGAATGTCCAAACTCTTCCGGAAAGTAGATGCTTTACAGATGAACTCACATATGCCTGAATGACACAACAAAAGTAAAGTTGCTAGAATTATATGGACGGAGTGTGAAACCATGTCAGTTAACTATTATTGCCATGTAACAGATCACCCCAAAACTTAGTGGCTTAAAAGAACAACATCACTTACTTTCCAGAGTCCATAATTTAAACATGGTTAGGTAAGGAGAGCTTGTCTTTTCTGCACATGGCATCAGCTGGCAGAGGTCAACTGGAGACAGAGGATCCACATTCAAAATGGCTCATTCAATGACTGGCAAGTTGACATGGGCTGTTGATTGGGCTCAACTGGAGCTGTGGACTAGAGACCTTGGTTCTTCTCCATAGGAGCCTCCCCATCAAATACTATGGCTTCCTCATGGAAGGATAGCTGGGTTCTAAGAGTAAGTGTCCCAAGGGACAGAAAGTGATCACTACCAGTTTCTTAAGGCCAGGGCCCTGAAACTGTCCCTGTGGCATTTCTGCCATAATATACTGTCAAGCTGTCATACAGCCTAGATTCAAAGAAAGGAGATACAGACACCTCTAAATAGGAGTGTTAAGGAATTTTAGAACTATGTTTTGAAATTCCACAGAGCAATTCTTTGCTGTGAATACAATAATTCATATTATTTCTATCATTCAAATTCATTTTGGAAAAGACAATGAAAGTTAAAAGAAGAAAAACTTTATAAAAGCCACAGCATTTTTTAAATGTATCACCACACATTCAACATCTGGTGATGATAAGATCTCTCATGATAAGCAATTTACCTTTAAACTTTTACTCCCCTGACACCTGCAGGATTGAAAATTTAACAGTCAGCTCTCACACACTGGGAAGAGCTGGGTTGGACCCACCACTATAATTATTCTACGTTAGGTCTTCTAGAAGGGATAACACTTGAAATTGTTATCAGTTTCAAGGAACTTTCACCTTACTGCAAAAGGACAATAGGTCAGAAGGTTTGGGTAGAGAGGGAGAGAACTGGAGTGAATGTGGGGACAGGGATAGGTGGTGAGAGGGTGTCTGAACACATTCACGAAGCAGGGGAATGGCAGAAGAACCAAAGTCAGGAAAAGGCTCCTTGTCCTTGATTGTTGGTGAAGAGGGAACAAGCAGACTGTCCACTTAGCAATTGTAGCAACGACCAGCCTTGTCCTCAAGACTTCTTAAGAGTCTTCAGGAAAGTAAAATCACTTAAGCCAGTTCAAATACTAGAACTTTTTATTAACAAATGATCTATTTACCGTATTTACTGTTGCACTTGTTTGGCCATTTATATAAATGTTACCTGAAATAAGGTGCAAATAAACCTAAAACATTCTTCAGAATATCTGTAACTTGACCCCTCACTGATTTCTGTTTTTACTGGCAATATTACATAAATTTTAGTTTTCAGTATAAAACCAGCTAAATGAAATCACTCACAAGGTTGTTTAGGGTTGTACTGTTTACTCTTATCAAGGCTCAGAATTACAGTTGACTCATTTTCTGGACAACTAGAATAATTCAGTGTGTGTGTGTGTGCGTGTGTGTGTTTCTGTTCCCTACTTTCACAGGGCTGACAGAGTAAGCAAAACACAGACCATCCCTGGAAGCCTGGATATTGCTGTTGACAACATTCCTTTGGAGCATCCAAGTATGATGATGATGTCATGGTTTGTTTGTAGAGTTCTAAATAGTGGTCTTTTGGTTGGATGGTTGGTTGGTTGGTTGATTCGTTGGTTGGTTAGATAGTTGGTTAGTTACAATACTTTGTGAGTTTTTTTCTCAAATTTTGGGATAAATGGAATTCATTATCTTATAGAAATTTGGGCCTTCTTGTTTCTCTGTTAAGACAGACTATCAGTATGATAGGACAGGAACCATATTCAGTGTAACTAATATGTATCTGGTATACACCATGCACTTGGCAAGGTATTAAATTATGTCATTTAATCCTCAAAACCCTGAAGAGTTGTAAATGAGAAATGTCAGGTTCAGAATGTCAGTAATCATAATGGGAGGATTTATATTCTATCCAGTTCCTCTGACTTAAAATACTGGGCTGGTTCCCCCATACTGTGTGCCACAGGATTGCTCTAAACACTATGTGTGGGTAGCCACCCAAGTGGTCACATTGTAATTATCGCTGGAATATTTTTAGACTCTGTTATTACACAGGGAGCATGTATCTTTTTTAAAAGTCCTATTTATGTCAGTGAAAATTTGAATTTTAGAAGGAGCTTTTATTAACTTATAAATAAGAATTTCAGAATTTATTTCATAAGTGACGAGATTGGTTTTTTTTTGTTTTGTTACTTCTGATTCTGCCTTTTAGTGACTTTCTTAGTGATGCAAAGAATGAATAAAGGCATCCTAAAATGAACTACAGAGAGAGAGAGAAAAGATTATTACCATAGGATATTTGAATTACCATTAGCACTATTAAGTTTTTCATTCTTATAATTTTTCTACAAATCATTTTAACATGAAATAAAATGAGCATTTTAACCTAAGCCATGGTTCCAAATCACTTTTATATTGATTGGTGTAGAAAAGCAGAGAATAAACTAAGCCATTTCCTCTACCTGATTTGTGAGATGTGTCTGTCTTTTATTACCTACAGAAAAGAAAAATAACAAAAGAGAAAGATAAAATATTCTCTTTGAAATGACTATAGGACATTAGAGAAATTTGAACATATAATAAAAATATTATAATTGATTTGGGGGGGAAAAAAACCTGTAATCTGATTCCCAAGCGTATTTAGCTAACCATTTTGCTTTTCTGAACACAGGAAAATTCCAGATGGGGTAAAGGAAAGTAGAAGGCCTTGCTGTCTTCCCGTGACCACAGCATCAGCCCCCAAGCTATTTAGTGACAGACGTTTTGATTTATAAACTTCAAATTGTCTTTTTTATTTTCCTTAGGCTATTCCTACAAGGCTAGATTTTTCAAGATTGTAAAAACTGGAGAGGAAAAATAGAATAAATTATATCAAATAATGCAGAGGGGGGGCTGCAGGCCTGTATTGTGAAATCATTCCATGGGGAAAACTTACTATCAATCCATTAGGTACTATCCATAATAGACCCATTGGACAAAGATTGTTCTGTCAATATCTGTATTATTTTTATAATGTTAGGTAAAGGCCAGTGGATTAATCCTTATCTTATAATGCGTGGTTAGCGTGCTCAGAGAATCATCAGTTGAAATTTAGTTTTCATGTGAAGCTTAATGCAAAAAGAAAATAGTTATAAATCCATCCAAAAGATTTACCAATTTTTTGAGACATCAATTTTGATGTTAAATGGTTTGATTATCTATCATCCCTACCTCCTACAAATTTTTCGTGCTTGCATAATTTAACATAAAGTCCTTTGCAAATACAGAGTTTCTATTTCAAGTGGATTCATTTTAAAATATGTTAAGTATTGTTCACCTTAAACAATCACATTAAATGACAAACTCTTATTTTCTGATTTTTAAAGACTGTGTAACATCGTCCTTTATCCCTGTCAAGCCTTTCGATGTGACAGCTCAACCAGAACCCACAGTCGAGGTGGAAGAATTTATTTACGACTCAACAAAGTACTGCCGTCCTTATAGAGTATACAAAAATCAAATTTACATTTACCCCAGGCACCTCAAGTATGATAGCCAGAAATGTTTCAACAAGGTATGGTATGTTTCTGAAACGTTATGCTCTCTCTGCACCCTACTGAGATCATATTAAGATGGATTCTTGAAAGTTCAAATACAAATTATCATAGGTCAACAGTTTGGAATAAAAATCCATTTGCAGAACGTGCTTAATAAGGGGCAGTGATGAGTTTCACCTTAAAAGTGTTTAAGGATGCACAGTTTATAAAATATTAATAATCCTTTCTAAAGTCAGCCCTAAATTATTTTGTTCTAGGCTTCTTTTTTTGTAGTTTCTTAAGATACTCTGAAAATAGCATATCTGCTTCCTTTTGATGTGAGTTTTTTCTTCCCTTTTAAATAATATCTCCAAGTCCTTCTGCTATTTCTGAGCACTATGGATAATGTCACAAGAAAGTGTTGGGTATTCTACATTTTTCAGATTTAATTAGAAGCTACTTATTTTAGACACCAGGATTGTTGGGTTTTTTGGTGTTATTTACCAGGAAATTACAATTTCCATTTTCCCCTCTCTGTAATTCCAGGCTCGAAATATAACCGTGTGCATTGAATTCAAAAATTCTGATGAAGAAGGTGCCAAGCCCATGAAGGTGAGCCAAGTCCACAAGGGAATACGGCACCCAGGGGGGGAAGGCAGGTGCATAGGTTCTCCTCACTGCCAAGGAGCTTTTTATTTGAGTGTGACTGAAAGAGGAGCAAGTCAATACATTTGTGTTAGATTTCCTAAAATGTACCTGATTTAATAGCCATCATTAACCGGATCTATTAGAAATGCACTCTTATAGCTCTGCTTAGCTTTTCATGACTTGGGAAAAAGGAAACTACTCTAGTGTGAAATAAATGCAAAGATTCCCCTCTGCAAGACTCTGCCCTTTTCAAAGAGCCTGCCCCTCAATTCAGCAGCATGCTTGATTTAAAATGCCACATCCCAGGTGGCCCTCGAGCGGCCTGTGCCGAAGGGCTGCAGCATGTTGGCCCAGCGGCTAGGGCAGCGAGCCCATGGGATGCTCACATCCATGGAAGGAGCATGTGGCCTGCTGCCCAAGGAGCCGGGAGATGGCTCGGGGAAGTTGGTCCCTGTTGTTGATCACATGATTTAATAAAACACATTAAGACTACAAGGTTTGTATGAACTGTGTTTTTTAACCTCCAAAAGTGCAACTAGATGTCATTTTTCAGAGTTCATCTCTGATATATACTGTTTTTATTTTAAGGACTTCAAACAACATAGAGTAACCCATAAAAAGAGAGGAAAATTATTTTTAGTGTGCCTGTGGTCAGATCTTCCCAGTTTGAATGAATCAGAGGGATGGAATAGTAAAGGACAAAGCCCATTTCTAACTAACCCCCACGATTATCTGAGATAATCTCTTAAAGCGCTCTGTCAGGTACCAGTCGTGTTCTCTGTACCAAGAAGGTTCGTAGCATGATTCAGAAGAAGGAGAATCGATCTGAGTGATTGAATGAATCATGCAGGGGAGAAAGAGTTCTTTAAAATAGTCTTGAGCCACTGTCAGTCTCCATAGGTTCCAAGTTCCACAGTAACATCAGTTAGCATCAGGAGAGAAAAATTAAAGCAAAATGGAATTTTCAAACAAAGGCAATGACCAGATGGCAAGCACGGCAGGCCTGCTAGTACAGTGTTTATGAGGAAAATTCTAGCAAAGAGGAATAATAGCAGGTGAATGGGTCTCCTGTGTCATTGCCTTCTAAAGGATCACACAGAGATACAGCAGACTCCAGAAGAGGGCCCCTGAGCCTTGGGCTAAGGGAACTTTGAAGCTGCGTGCCTAGGAAGTACCATAGGACATCCCCTGGCTTGACTGTGGGCTGGGGTGGAATAGCAATGCAATATGGTGGAGCCTGGAACGAGCCCTATCCTTCTAGCTCAGCATTCTTGGTTGGGAGCTGACATGTCAGGGGCTGGGGTCCAACCAAACCTTGTGGTCACCCACGAATGATTGCCTTAAACTCCAAACCAGAGCTGGATACCATGGGCCCCTTTAAGAGGCCACCTTGCAGGAATCAGAATTGAACAATTTAGCTCTTATCTCCTGGTAATCAAAAGTAACAAACTAATTCAGGTTGATGTGATAGCTACATAATAAATGAAAGCCTTCAGATTTTCTTCAGCAGCACCCTGGTATAAGAAATACAAGGCAGCGGGTGAAAGAAGTTCAAGGTTAATTAGATATCAGTTAAGCCTGGCAAGTTATCACAAAATTCATCCTTGTTCCAGGATTGGTAACTGAAGAGTTGTGACTTTTTTGTGTGCTCAGGGTTAATTTCAGACACTCATAATCATTCAACTCATAACTTTTTAAACAGTGTATTTATGGAAAACCTGGAGGGCCTCTCTTCACCTCAGCGGCCCACACAGCAGTTCTGCACCATTCCCAGAATCCGGATTTCTCCGATGAGGTAAGGGCCAGGCCTCCACTGCCACCCAGGATCTCCTAAAAAGCTGAGTGAGTGGGTCAGGTAATGCACAAAGATAAACACTCTCTCTAGACCACATCTCAGACTGAGGACATGTCTTGGCTGATATTTACTGAACTGAGATTTAGAAACTATGTTAATTGACAGTTGCTCCAGGAGTTACGTTGCAAATCCAGATGTTTCAGCACAGGATCACCCTTCAAAAATACAATGTTTTTATGATATCATTCTTTTCAAGTCAGAATAATTTTTTTTCTTTTATTTCATTATTCAATATAATAAAGATTGTGTTAGATAGCTTTACCAATTAATAGCTGCATTTCTTGTCATAATGGAAAGAACATAGGAATAGACCAAGTATGAACCAACACTATGGCTTATGACCTATCCCCTTGAGTGATCTTGAGTGATCACATCTCTGAGTGTGGCATGGAATAAGACCTACCGTGGCCAACTCCTGAAACTCTCTTATTATGTGCCAGACACCATGCTATATACGGTGTATATGGATCATCTCAATTCCCAGAGTGTTCTCCAGAGAAACAGAGCCAATAGGGGGAGATATAGATGTATAGATGGGTGGATTTATTATGAGATATTGGCTCACGTCATTATGCAGACAAGAAGTCCATGATCTTCCATCAGCAAGCCTGAGACCCAGGAAAGCCAGCGGTACTGTTGGAAGGCTTGAGAGCCAGCGAGGTTATGATGTAGATTCCAGTTCTGGTCTGAAGGGGGCACCAAGGGCAGACAGAGAAGATCCGTGTTCTAGTTCAAGTAGTCAGGCAGAGAGAGAATTCAGCCTCCTGCCTTTTTGTTCTATTCAGGCCCTCCTCAGATTGGATGATGAACACCCATGCTGGGGAGGGCCATCTGTTTTACTCAGTCTTCAAACTCAAATGCTCATCTCTTCCAGAAACATCCTCACAGGCACACCCAGAAATAATGTTCAACTGGCTATTTGGGCATCCTGCTAGCCCAGTCAAACTGACATAAAATTAACTTTCCTGTTTCATGGATAGGGAAACTGGGACTCAGAGAAGTAATTTTGCCAAGGCCACACCACTAACAAGCAATAATCAGAATTCAGACCAGGCCACATGACTCCGGGGCCTCAAGCTATACCACTCTGCTCTAAAACGCGTGCAAAAAAACAGTCGGGCCAATGGTAAATTACTCTACGCATGTCAGCTTGTATTATAAAGAGATTCAGACAAACAAGTGTTAGTGATTAAATTTAATTTCTGACCACAAAGCAAAAGTCAACTAATGCAACCTGCTGATATGAAATATCACATCTTTCCATGAGTTTCCTACGACTGCTATAGTAAATCACCACAGTTTAGTGGCTTAGAAAAACCCTAGTTCATTATCATATAGTTCTGGAGGTCGTAACTCTGAAATGAGTCCCTCAGGGCTGAAATCAAGGTGTCAACAGGCCTGCATTCCTTCTGGATATTTTAGGGGAGGCCCCTTGCCTCGCCTTTTCCAGCTTCTAGAGGCTTCCACAGGCCTTGGCTGGTGACCCTCTTCCAGAAGTTTCCTCACTCTGACCTCCACTTCCTTTCTCACATCTCTGACTCTGACTTTCCTCCAATAAGGACTTTGTGATTACATTGGGCACCCATGTTAATCCAACGTAATCTTTCCATTTTAAAATCCTTAATTTCATCACTTTCGAAAATCCCTTTTACCCTGTTCACAGATTCTGGAGATTAGGGCAGGGAGGACATCTTTGGGGGGCTATTATTCTGCCTACCACACCTTATTCCACATCAATCATTTTAAAACTAATTAAAGGAACTTCAGTGAAACCACAGACTTTCCTTGACCTTATCTCCCTCCTCCACATCCATTTAATGCTCTTAAACTTTGTTCCCTATAAATTCAGGACAGAAGATGAAAAAAAAAAATTAAGGTACAGAGCTACCACCATGTTATAGAATATTTACTGTATTGGTTGACGCCTTGGAAAAGCCCCTCTGAAAGATGTATTCTCTGTAGTCACATAAGATTTTTTTTCAAAAAAAAAAAAAAAGGATATTCTCACTATTAACTCTGGCTTTTAATCTCTCTTGCTCATGTGTGTTTCCCGGAATTCTTATAAAAGCCATGGACTTTTCCACAGGAGAACATGTATATAATGAAAGCCCAGTGAACTCTGCAGTGTAGACTCAAAACTAAGGTTACGTTAATTGCAAAAATTGATAGAAATTCTTTCAAGGCGCTGTTGTAATGTAAATATTTGCAGTATTTAAAGGAAGGATGTTTGCATTCATAATTAACTGGAATTCTTGAGAGCATATTGCATTCCCGTATGCTCTTTATGTTAGCTAAGAAAAAGAAAATTTCTTTCTGGTACATGGTAAGTACTGTATATTCTTAAATGTACATCAGCCTTTGTTACCAGGTTAACATACTGGTATATAAAGAACATGTAGGCTTGTAAACCATTCTAACTGAAAAGCTCTCTAATTTTACCCTTCATCAGTATCACCCAGAAGGCTTGTTACAACACCGATTACTGTAACCCGCCCCAGATTTTTGGATTCCATATGTCTGAAACGGGGCCTGAAAATTGGCATGGTACTCATTAGAACAAGTTTCCAGATGATGCTGATGTTGCTGTTCCAGGCATAACATTTTGAAAATCAATGTAATAAATCCTTTCCTGAACAATGTGAAAATATGTGCTGGATGGGTAGATGCACAAAGAGTCTCATAAAGAAGCTGGCAGATAATCTTTTTCTAACACCTTATTGCTTGACCATTCTGGAAACTACCTAGTTGTTGATATTGGGGTGAATGCAGCTTACATGCACGGAATCCTGAGATTCCAGCGTGAAGTAGTTATCAAAAAACATGGTTTCTCATCCTGGAAGATTCTATTACTGACTAGACCACACACTCCTAGTGAGTCAAAGCCCTGTAACCATCTCTCAACTCAGGTCCTACCTCTGTATCATCCTACTTCACAACGTATGTTTCAGAGGTTTGGAAACTGAAAAGCACTATAAAATATAGAGGTTGTCAAAACATTTCTTCTTAAGAGGATGGAGCAGGCTCCTCATTACGTCTATTTTTTTTAAGATTTTATTTATTTATTTATTTTGACAGAGACAGACACAGCGAGAGAGGAAACACAAGCAGGGGGAGCTTCAGAGGGAGAGGGAGAAAAGGCTTCCCGCGAAGCGGGGAGCCCGATGCGGGGCTCGATCCCAACACCCTGGGATCATGACCTGAGCCAAAGGCAGACGCTTAACAACTGAGCCACACAGGCGCCCCCATTATGTCTATTTGTAACGTATATCAATTTTATGGTTTATATTTATTCGGAAGTATTCTTTATGTAGCTACAGCATGACGTCTCCTCAAAACAGCTCATTACTTGGTTACCACAATAACACACTTCATCTATTTTTTGTTCTTTTTAAAAAGGGATAGATTCTGTGCTAAAGTTACATCATTCCCTGCTGCCATGTTTCTCAACACTGTGCCTATGAGTCGCCTGGGGATCTTATTAAAATGCAGATTCTGTTTCCATGTGTCTGGGGCAGTGTCCAAGATTGTGCATTTCTAATGAGCTCCCAAGCGATGCTCATGTACTAGCCCATGCACACACTGCGAGAGGCCAAGGCTCAGTTCACTCAGTGTACGTTCCTTGATGATAGGTCTTCAATCGATGTCTTTTTGACACCCTACAGTTAGTCTGTGTGTGTGTTAGTGTGTGTGTGCGTGCGTGTGTGTGTGTGTGTGCTTAATCCATTCTCTACTAGCATACATTATCAAATGACAAATACCAGGCATTCTAAATTATCATCACCCACCACAATAAAGAAGTAAAAATATCAGCCCCTTAACACGTGACTGCTAGCAGGACGGATATTCATTGAGAGTAAAATCGGTACTTTTTTTTTTTTTATAAAGATTTTTATTTATTTATTTGACAGAGAGAGAGATAGTGAGAGCAGGAACACAAGCAGGGGGAGTGGGAGAGGGAGAAGCAGGCTTCCTGCCGAGCAGGGAGCCCGATGTGGGACTCGATCCCAGGACCCCGGGATCATGACCTGAGCCGAAGGCAGACGCTTAACGACTGAGCCACCCAGGTGCCCGAAATCGGTACTTTTAACACTAACTATGAAACGTGGTCCTCAGTTTCAGTGAAAGAATTTTTAGAAGGCTGAGGTGCCTAGGCTTTGTCTTACCCTACCTGGGGCAAATGAGTTTCATCCCAGTCCGGCTATTATCTCTTTCCTTGCAGGTAAAAATTGAGCTCCCGACACAGCTCCATGAGAAACACCATATTTTGTTTTCTTTTTATCATATCACTTGTGACATAAATGCCAAGGCTAATGCCAAGAAAAAGGAGACCCTGGAAACATCAGGTACTGACAGGACGTGATCTGAGACAGCATTACGTGTCATCTGTGTGACTTGAACTGGAGAGTATTTTAAAGCTCCCATTTATTAAATTTTTTTAGTGAAGTGTTCTATTCATAAGTGGCAAGTAACTTTGTTTTTACCCCTCACCATGGAGGTTTGTACTCAGAAGTTTTCTCTTCGTTCTTCCTTTGCACAGTTGGATATGCTTGGCTTCCCCTGATGAAACATGATCAGATAGCTTCTCAAGAATACAATATCCCAATAGCAACAAGCCTGCCTCCTAATTATTTAAGCTTTCAAGACTCTGCAAGCGGAAAGGTATTGAGTGATGTATAATTTAAGAGAAAAAAAAATACATGAGCTAAATGGCATGAGGTTATCTTCTGTCTGTTATTTAAATGAACCCAAGGACTGTAGTGTATGCATCCATTGTAGTGGTGAGTTGCGTACCTACAATATTTCAGAGGTCTTGTTTGGTTTGTGGCCAGTAGAAATGATCCATTAGAATGGCCCCCTGATATCACATTGGTCTCCCTCACCAATATTGTCAAATGTATTGCATCTTTTATTTTGCATCTCTAGAGTCACGTAAGGTGAATGGATCAGGATGGCAAATTAACACGAGCTGTATAACCTGTTTGTTTTCTTTTCTCCAATTACCACACTCTTTTTTACAGCACGGTGGGAGTGACATGAAGTGGGTTGATGGTGGCAAACCACTCTTCAAAGTATCGACATTTGTGGTATCCACAGTGAACACTCAGGTGAGTGTGTTGTCCTGAGATCTCAGCATCTGCTCTAACACGGAGAATCCTCAGGGGGCTCTTGTATTTAGAGGAGGGGACTCACCATTTCCCAAGTTGTCAGAGGGCCAGGTGATTGAGAATTGCAAAGGAAGAATAGAGGCATAACTTTATGCATCTCCCAGGAGAGATAGAATGCCCAACCCTTCAGCCCTGGGGCCATAAACTGCAACCTAGAATACCAGACGTGTATGTCTGTGGATGATGCCCCCCTGGAAATATGGTTTGCTTCCACTGACAACATCCAAGTGTTAAAAATGGGAAAAGTCGGAGTGAAAGACTTTGGATCTTTACCTCAGAATGAAAAACTTTGGATCTTTCCTCAAAACTAAGTCTGAAGGGCACCTGGGTGGCTCAGCCGGTTAAGTGTTTGCCTTCAGCTCAGGTCATGGGATCGAGTCCTGCATCAGTCCCCTTGCTCAGCGGGGAGTCTACTTCTCCCTCTCCCTCTGCTCCTCCCCCCTACTTGTGCTCTCTCTCTCTCTCTGTAAATAAATAAATAAAATCTTAAAAAAAAAAACAACTAATTCTGATTCCCAATGCCTAACCGGTGCTCCTGATGTTGGTGACCATGATGTTGGCAGAACTGCACTGGAGAGTCTCCTTCACCAAATTCTTCCTCAGTGATCCTGCACAAGTTGCCTCACCCCTGAGGTCTTTATTTTGTCACCAGAAAAATGGTGACAATAGTATCTGCCAAGGTTGTGGGAAGGACCAAAATGAGAAACCACATGTGAAAATATCTCAGGAACTGCAAAATGCTACGCAAATGTTCTTACTGCTGTTGCTAAATTACCACAGACACACCCCTTCCCCTGCAAGACAGCTGATTTTACCTCAGTGTGAGGACTTTCATGATACCAGTTATAAAGTACAAAGCAAATCATTAAGTACACAAACTGTATTTCTCCTTTCTTAAATTCAGTGTGTTGCTAATACTCACTTGCTGAGAGAAAAGAAATCATCCAGGTATCACATACATATTGCTTCAGAATTTCTCTCCACAACCTCTGGTGCCTCAAGCCACATTTAGCTCTCGTCCCCAGGACTCTACCCAAATTCCTCAAGTCCCACAGTATGGTCCTTCCCCACCCAATCCTGCCTTTATATACCTCAGAATACCGATCTGTCTTCCTCACATGCCCAGCTGCTTTCCTCCCAACAGGCCAGGTGTCTCTCTGCCTCATCACCACTCACCTTTCTCTGCATCTGCTGCCACTGCCCACGGGCTTGTTGTCCTGGCGGGACACATCCGTCCTTCCTTAAGCCCAGCATTTACCTCAGTGATCAATCTCTCTCTCTCTTCCTCCCCTCCCTGCATCGGCCTGGTCAGGTCCCACCCGTCCTTCAGACGTTGGCTCAAATGTCACTTTCTCAAAGAAGCCCCTCCTATTCCCTGACCCCTCAGACACGCTGTGTCATCTTGTCGTACACCCACGTGGCACCCTGCTTTCCTGTGAAGCACTTACCTGTGATCGAGTAGGCGTGTGTGGACATGGCGGTATCGTGCCTGTCTCCCTGGCATCATGGGAGGACCACAGAGGAAGGGGCTGGGTTTTCCTGGGCCTCCACGCTGTCCTCCATGCCTGCCAAGGGCCTGGCATGTAGTCAGCTTTCAATGAATAATTGTCAGATAGATTAATAAGTGAAATGAAACTGAAAATATCACACAAACACACACACACACACACACACACACACACCAGAACCGAGGGAAACCTAAATCACAGATGTCCTTCTAGAATCAACACATTCCAGAGAAAGATCCTAAATGTGTATCTCCACTAAAATTCTGTGTCTCACTTTCTGACTATATAATTCTGACCCTCAGCTCAGATCTTAGAGAATTTCTAAGGTGCCGCCCTCTTCAGGAAATAGCATTAAAGGGCATACTCAGGCCGCTGTAACAAATACCACAGACTGGGCAGCTTAAACAACAGAAATTTATGTTCTCCCCATTCTGGAGTCCAGAAGACCAATATCAAGGTGTTGGCAGGGTTGCTTTCTTCTGAGGCCTCTTTTCTGGACATGTAGGTGGCCATCTTCTTCCTGGGTCCTCTCACGGTCTCTTCCTCTATGCCAGTACATGACTGGTGTCTATCTGTGTGTCCAAATTTCCTCCTTAATTTTTTTTTAAGTAGGCAGGTCTTGAACTCATGACCCTGAGATCAAAACCTGAGCTGAATCAAGGCTCAGATACTTAACTGATGGGGCCACCCAGCGCCCCTAAATTTCCTCTTTTATGGAGACATCAGTCATATTGGAGTGGGTCCACCCTAACTGCCTCAATTTAACATAACTATGTCTTTAAAGACCTTATTTCTAAATATGGTTACATTCTGAGGTCCCGGGAGTTGGGACTTCAACATATGGATTGTGGGAGGACACAATTCAGCCCATAACAAAGGATACAAATCGGTTTTATCTCATCAGGTTAGTGTGAACTTTCTAATTTTTTACTAGCTCAGGCATTGTAAGTCTGAAAATATCCCCGTGCATATTAAGAGTACACCTTCTCATGTATGTTAAGAAATATGTAAGAAAAATACATAAAAGTCTGTGGAAAAAAACAGGAAGATGAAAAAAGGCAATTTTTAAAAAATGGGGGGGTGGGGAAGAGCCAAGAGAAGTGCTTCTCCAGCCACTGTCATGTGACCGAGAAGAAAAGCACACTTACAAAGCCATCACTCAACTCCTTGATAAAGCACCTGCTCATCAAGGCATCTGTCCTCCAGAAATACTCACCCTCCATCACCATAATCTCTATATAGCTTATGTGTCATCAGAATTAAACACTTTCTTTGCTGTTTCAGGATCCCCGTGTGAACGCATTTTTCCGACAGTGCCAAAAAAGAGAGAAAGATATGTCTCAGTCACCTACCTCGAATTTCATCCGCTCTTGTAAGGTAACATGATATGCAAATAGTTTCCATGTTTCTAGGGCAGAAACAGGCAAGCGAGACATTGACAGTTTCCAATGAGTAGCAAACTAAGAGAGAATTTTTAAAAGCCTTATCAATGCAGAGAGTGCATGGTTATTTCTCAATTCCTAAACAGTTTCTGCCTGTTGTTTACAAACATCAGGTTTTTTTCCAAAATAAAAATGATTGCAAATCAGACTCAATTGATTTTAAATTAGGTAATTGCATATCGGGTCCTTGCAACTATGTCCCCGTGCCGTGTGCCATGCTAAGTGCAATGAAGGATAAAGCCAGGTAGAGGTGAGCTAGAGTGTTCATATTTGAGTTCTGAAATACATCAGCAGAACGTGCTTTAAATTTAATCAGTGCCCTTTTTCTCCCACTAACTTACTGCAGAACTTACTGAATGTGGAAAAGATTCACGCAATCATGAGTTTTCTGCCCATAATCTTGAATCAGCTCTTCAAGGTGCTGGTACAGAATGAAGAAGACGAAATAAGTACGACTGTGACCAGGTATCTCTCCCATGGTCTTAGGAGAAGAGATCTTACAGTTTGTGATTGCACAAAACTGTGATGATAACTGAATGGCCACTCACTTATTCATGCTTGCATTTCACTTGAACACGTGTCTCAAATTTTAAGTATTTTTTCACTCTTGAGTTCTTGCCTTCAAATCTGTTTTTATCATTTGGATAAAGTTTTAGACCTCTTTTTTAACTTTTTCTTTTGTTTTTTAATTAAGCTTTTTATTTTGAGATCATTATAGATTTGCATGCAGTCATGAGAAATAATGCAGAGAGATCCCATGTTCCCTTTACCCAGTTTACCAACGGCACCATCTTGCAAAACTGTAGCACAGTATCACTACCGGAATATTGAAATTGATAGAAACAGGATAGGGAACACTTCCATCACCACGGATGCCCTTTATACACACAATTACTTCCCTCATGTCCCCAGCCCCCAC